TCCAGCTGTTCTTCTTCCCCACTGATCTCCGACTCCAAAGGAAGCTGGGAAATGTCAGAGGGCCCCGGCCCCATCTCTGCCTCCGACACAGAGCCCTCGTCAGAGCCTTCCCCAGACTCCAGGACTGGCCCAGGTTCCTCCCCAACCTCCTCACTGTCCGAGTCTGCCGCCAGCTCCGCTGGCAGCCGCAACACCAAGGAAAGTTAAGAATAATTAACAAACTGAGCTGAGAAGCCCGTGGATGACTAAGCTATGACTAATTAGCTATGCTAATTGGAAGCAGCAATAGCTCCTCATTGTGTTGCAAGACCAGAAACGACACTGGGTGTAATTTTACTCTAAGCGGAATACCAAAGGTTTACACCGTGAAACATGGCCATTCATTAACGTATCTGGGTGAAAAGGGACATTCTGGGAAGGGAATACAGTGGCCAGTATCTCCCCAAAACCTGGGACCAAATCCCCATCTTCGGGAGTTTTAAAATCCAGCACATGGGAAGTCCTTGACTTACAGCCACAATTGAGCCTCAAATTCCTGTTGCTAAGCAAGAAAAGTTGTTCAAGTGAATTTTTCCCCACGTTCTGGTCTTTCCTGTCACAGTTGTTAAGTTAGTTAGTCACACCGTTGTTAAATGAATCTGGCTAAGCCAGGAAGTTGCCAAGTGACTTTTCACCCATTTTACGACCTTTCTGGCCACCACTGTTAAGTGAATCTCTGCGGTCCTTAAGTGAGTCCTTAAGTGGTTGTTAAGTGAATCTGACCTCCCTGTCGACTTTGCTGGTCAGAAGGTTGCAAAAGGGGATCACTGCGACCGTCATAAATACGAGGCCGTTGCCAAGTGGCTGAAATTAGATCGCCCGGCCATGGAGATCCGTGCAATGGTCGTCCGTGTGAAAAACAGTTGTAAGTTTTTTATTTCCTGTCTGCAAGAAAGCAACCAACCTCAGAGAGCAGCAAGGACCCCATAGTTCTCCTCCTCCTCTCCACAAAACTTCCTCTCTTCTAGCACTGATGATGTCACCTAGTTGGGTAATGAAACGTCTGCAAGAAAACCGCCCAGCTTAGAGGAGCACCAAGGATCCCACAATCTTCCTCCTCCTCCTCCTCCTCCTC